AAATTTTTATCGATTAAAGCTAGGAATGTTGTCCTAGCTCATTGCTGACCATTTGGTTGAACCAAATGATTTTTCTTTTTCCGTTTTTCCTCTGATTTGTACTATTGCTTTTTTTTATATAATTGATGTTAGCGTATTTGTGGCCACTATTTTTTTTTTTAGAACTCTGTTGTAGAAATTACTGTTTATGGAATATTTCTTCATTTGCGGATTTCATACTGATTCTTTTCCCTATTGATGAGGGTATGTGCTTAATTATGGATGGGAGATGGTTTGACCTAGTGTGTACATACAAGGGATTAGTATTAGGTTTTCTGTAAGGTAGATTTATGTTATTCATTAAGTCTAAAGTTATGTCGAGGAAGTTTACTCTTTTCAATTTTGTGTTAACGGAAGTTTTTAAATTTAGTTTCTGAATTCACTAAATATTATTTTCTAATTTTATCTATTTTAAATTTTGTGGAACTCCTCACTACCATGAGCTTATCATTTCTGTATAGCCCGATGTCCTTAATGTCTAATTCACGGCGTGCTGTTAGGTTGTATAATATAAATAGACCGACAAGATCTTCACAACTGCCCTAGAGGTTGCTACTACATATTCAGACCTAACAGAAGAAGAAATGAACATAATTCTTAATGCAAAAAAAAAGTCTCTCCTCATTCAAAACGGGGACCAATGGATTAAAAACACTGAAGACCATTTTGACATTTCCATGGGATCTTTAGACTTGTCGGTCTATTTATTCTATACAAACCTAACCGTGCACCGTGAGTTAGGCATTAAGGACATCTGGCTATACGGGGGAACAATGAATTAAAACATCTGAAGATGTGTATTGCAAATGTATCGGTGATGGAGTTAAATTTCATTCTTTTTTTATCCAACCTCATATTAAATTAAGAAAAATTTTCTGATATGTAAAAAAAAAAGACTTAAACCTTCAGATTTCTGATTTAAAAGGTGTGTGGAATCCGGAAATTTCATAATCGCTAAATTTTCCTGTCGGAAGAGGTTGCAAATATTGTGATTGTTTTCTGGTTTTTCGGTTTTTTTTAAAAATTCTCCACCTTTACAAAATGATCAATGTTGTTTTTTTTTTTGTTTTTTTTAATATACATACGTACGTACTTATATATATATATATATATATATATATATATATATATGTGTGTGTGTGTGTTTTTAGGGATATAAGTTTAAATTTATTTTCAGACATAAAAAAAGAATGTTATTTAAATCAACACTGACATGCTGATTGATTTTTGAAGTAAATGTCTGATTAAATAAATTATTTAAATTTTCTAAAATCTCGTTAAATAAATAATGAAAAATTGAAATTAAGACTGAATAGAATAATAATAATGTCCTAAAAGGCCTAAAAAAAAAAACAAATTTAAACCATCAAATCCTCATAAATTAATCTACAATAAAAAAATTTTTTTCACATTCTAATGAACGCTTAAGCATAAACTGTATTACAATTGAATAAAGCAAGAAATGCAATGTAATAGTTAGAATCACTTTTATTTTCCAAGTAATGTCAACCGTAGCATTTAAACGCAAAAAGAAGAAAAACATCAATAATGGATAGCTAGACATAGTGTTATCGGTGCCAGTTGCATCTCTGATGATAATCTCGGAAAGAGAAGGAAAGTGATTGGGAAATAAGAGTGGTTTTCAATGTTCTAGTGCATTTATGAATCATACACGGAAAAATATCCGTGAATATGAACGGATTATGCTAAAAATAAGCAGAGATAATATTTGTAATTTATTTAATCGTATATTGATGCAAGTTTCATTAAATAATATAGACAAGTTGTTTCTATTTTAAGTAAGTTCCTTTGATATTGTCTGATAAGCTTAATAACATTATCATTGAAAGACGAAAGGAAATCACCATATTGATGCATGTTTAAATCCGATCTAAGCTTTCGGCTTACATGACTCATTATCCGCGTCTTAAATACACGATTTTTTTGTTGCTTTGAAAGTTTTCATGCAACAAAAACAGACTATTATTATTGTTTCGTCCGTGTATTGTTTTGATATATTGAAATGCAATTGTCATCTTTGATAATGGCTTATGTAAGCCGAACGCTTAGATTGGATTTAAACATGTATTAATATGGTGACTTCCTTTCGTCTTTCAATGATAATGTTATTAAGCTTATCAGACAATATGAAAGGAACTTACTTAAAATAAATAGACGAAACTTTTCTATATTATTTAATGGAATATGCATCAATGAAATATTGCTGCCTAAATATACAGAATATGTGTGTGTGTGTGTGCTAGCTGACATGTTAGGCATTACCTATAATAATAAAAAAAACTAAAACAAATATATTTTCATGTTCCCTACACGAAAAGAGAATTATTTTATGCAGCCGTTGTTATTTGTTACAGGCGCCAGCAAATGTCGCCTGTAAATTTCACGCTATGCTAAGAATAAGATATATATTTAACGAAACGCCAACTCCATCGGAATGTCGCATAGATCAGTGTTTATAATGAAAATCCCATTAGTACATGGGACTAGAAACTAAAATATCTCAAGCCCTTCGGCATTTCCTCATTGGGGAGCCCTCAGGCTCTACAGATTGACCATAACACTCCCTTAAGGGAGAAAGTCTGCCTGCTGAGAGGTAGGGGTAGTACCTTTTAATTATATATCATTTAACCTTGGTGTTTCTCCATCTTGGCCAGGTTATCAATACGCTCCTTAACATCTAAAGAGCGGTTCATTAAACACACACACACGCGCGCACATTCAAACACGCATGCACACACACACATAAGTAAGGATCTGTTTATATCTAAGTTTTCTTTACATATGTATGCTCATTTATATATATATATATATATATATATATATATATATATATATATATATATAAGCGTGAAAAATGTAAGAGCATATCAGTGAAAGGACAATATCAATAAAGTTTTCCTTTAGAAGTTTTCCTAATAAATATATATATATATATATATATATATATATGTGTGTGTGTCGTTTTCTTCCGAGATGAAATTCGGTCTCCAATGAATGACAAGCGCAGGAATTAAATATAAGAAATAAAATGTATTTACACAATAATACAAAAGGTAATACTGTTAGTAAATCCAGTAACGCGGTTAGTAGCAATAACATAGCAATATAGATATATACAGTCTCGAAGTAGGACTTCCTTAGAGTCTACGTGCTTGTAACTGACTTCTACAAGTGGTTACCTCACACTATTACTCTGCCTCCAACTCAATCACAATCTCAGTGTTCTTACTATCTCTACTCACTCTCTCAATCCTGTATACTGACTGACTCTGGGTATTTAACGGCAGCAGTCCAAGTAACACTTTGGTCGAGTCCACTTATATGAAAAAGGGGTGGACCCCATAACAAAATATATATATATATATATATATGCGGAAACTTTGCTGAAACATAGAACTCAGATGAAGATTGCAGATAATCTGGAACTAGCCTGGTGTGCACATGGATTTGTTATTTATATATAATACTTGAATATTAAATCCATGTATGGAATTATCCCTCATCAAATGACAAATATATATATATATATATATATATATATATATATATATATATATATATATATATATATATATATATATATATATATAGAATAATATTAGTGGTAAATATAAATACGTATGCAAAATATATAAATACCCATACATGTATATTTTTAGAATAAAAATTCCAAGAGGAAGAATCCAGGTAGAACTCAATGTCCAGGACAGAGTAAGGATATAATAAAAAAAGGCTTAAACACTAATATTCCATGGTCATAATTTATTCCATTGGAATCGTAAATACGATCCAATTCATCAGACCTACAAATTCAAAAAAGAAAACAGAAAAAACAACTCCGGAAATAAAACAGAATTTTGAGAGAGTGTAAGTATGAGGAGGAGGGAGATTAAACCTTAACAGAGAGAATTTTAGGAGAGGTGGGTGGAAGGGGTTTAAATAAGAAGTTTTTTTGCTTTTTTTTTTGAATTTGTAGGTCTGATGAATTGATCATATTTACGATTCCAATGGAATAAATTATGACCATGGAATATTAGTGTTTAAGCCTTTTATTATATATATATATACATACATACATACATACATACATACATATATATATATATATATATATATATATATATATATATATATATATATATATATATGCACAAACAATGACTTGTACCCACAGGAAAAGAAAATAGATAAATAGATTTAAATAGATTGGACGTCATTATATTACCTTGAGGGCATCCTTTCAAGCAACACTTCCTTACATTAAAAAATCAAACAGACATTAGTAAATAACGAATGACGAAGAAATATTGGAACACGATTAAAATAGATTTTAATTATAAATATAATAGAATAAACATTTTAGTCTGCAATTTATTTCTAATTAAAATATATTTTAATTGTGTTCCAATTTTTCTCTGTTGATTTGTTGCTTACTAATGTGTCTTTGTTTGTTGCTGCTTGCCAGCACTCAACTTTTGCGAAAGTCTTGGCCGAAAGCGTCTCCTCATGGTAAAACAATCACGTTCATTATATATATATATATATATATATATATATATATATATATATATTAAGAGGATAATATTAAAGACTTCTTTGGAATAATGCCTACCAATTACAAATTTCTGTTATATATATATATATATATAATATAAAAGTTTCAAACACTAATAGTCCATGGTTATAATTTATTGTATTGGAATCATAATAACGATTCAATTCATCAGAACTACAAATTCAAAAAGAAAACAGAAAATATAACTCCGGGTATAAAAAACAAATTTTTAGAAAATTCTTTACCACTTCGCTGAGATAGATAGATAGATATGAGTAAGCTGAGATAGATAGATATGATATGAAGCTTAGATAGATAGATATAGATAGATAGATAGATAGATAGATAGATAGATGAATAGATAGATAGATATATATGAATAAGCTTAGATAGATAGATATATTATGAAAAAGCTGAAGATAGATAGATAGATAGATATGAGTAAATGAGATAGATAGATAGATAGATAGATAGATATGAATAAGCTGAGATAGATAGATAGATAATATGATGATAAGCTGAGATAGATAGATAGATATAAAATAAATAGATAGATAGATAGATATATGAACAGCTGATATAGATAGATAGATAGATGTATATTGATATGATATTTAGATAGATATGAATAGATAGATATGAGTATGCTGAGATAGATAGATAGATAGATATGATAGATAGATAGATAGATAGATAGATAGATATGATGAACATGAGATAGATATGATAGATTGATAGATAGATAGATAGATAGATATATGAGAATGCTGAGATAGATAGATATGAATGGGCTGAGATAGATAAATAGGTTCGCCAATCGCCCATGTCATGCTCTTCCTCGTATCTTTGTACAAAGGTATACCCCTTGTTTTCTGTTTATGAGTGGACGTCGTGTTCCTTCGAAAGTCTTTCCTTTCTCTTTTACTCTCAATCGCTACTGCATTTGTGACGTACGGTGGCCGTTAATAATTAAGTATAACTCAAGACTTCAATGTTAAAATAAAACAGTATTTAATTACAAACGCAAATAAATATTTAATAAGAACAAAGAAGTAAAAGTCAATCAAAGATAATTAACCATTTCAGTGAATAACTTATTAGTAGCGCGGATCGGATTAACGTCCAGTAAATCCTAAATCAAAACCCATGTCATCGACGCACAATAATTAACACTAATTCGACTGGATAGTTCCACTCAATAATCACTGCAGTCAGTAGCCTGACACCGCTATTTATACACCTGGCGGAAACATATATTTACAAGTCGAGAGTGTCACGCTCGAACCTCGGTGTCGGTAGTTACTTATTTTCTTCCTTTATGTCAGGTGTGTATTTTCAAATTTCATCGCAAAAATAATATAGGAGATCCTTTTAAAACCTTCCTATTCTAAATGAATTTTGAAACAATTCTTTTTTTTTTTGGATGACCATGGTTCATCGGTGAAACAGAATTTTTAAATATGGTTTCATAATTTTACCCTGTATCTGTTGATTTAAATACGTGAATTTTTAAATATACATTTTAATGTAACTTATATCCGCCGTCATATAAGTAACATTCATGCCTGCGAGCATAAAGACACACACGTTGTGTCTTCTCATACAAAGGCGATATTTCTACTTTTTCAAAGTATACATTTGGAAATATATATATATATATATATATATATATATAATATGTCGTGACCCATATTGACATTTGTACAATTCTTTCTTGCAGTTCGCCTTGTTACTAGAATGCCTTGACGTGGTTTCCTGGGGAGTGATATTAATATAAGCCGGTTTAGCATCACGAATTTGTTTAATATTAGACGCCATTTCTATTAGTTATTTTTTCTTCTTAAATATTCTTCCCGAATCTTCCATTTATTTATGTTTGTTTGCTTGCTGTGTAGTTTTTTCCGCTGTTTATAGAACGTAATCTTTTATCCATAAAAATAAAAATTTATCTATATCTAAATAATTCAAATGATATATATAAATATATATATATATATATATATATATATATATATATATATATGTGAGGAAAACCTTGGGACATATGGGTAAAATAGCAGCACAGAATATTCGTGGCAATTCGAACTTATTGCATTTTGTCATGTAGATATTAGTTGATAACACTATAGTACTCACACATAAACACAGTAAAAAGAACGTTCATATATTGGAGGCCATCTACATTAAAACGAAGCAAGCTACACTCAACAAAATTACATTTCAAACTAGTCACAACACATTACATTGCATCTAGACATTGGTTCTGTTGTAATACTTCGGTCTATCGCCTGGTATGACGTCATAAAACCGCATCTTGAACTTACGATCTGCGTCTGCTATTCCGCGACCGTTATCGTCGCATAGCAATTTTCTGTGTCAAAATAACAAAATATCATATTTGATGTTGGATATCTTTGTTTCATGTCTGTATAACCACACTGACGATGGCTGATGTGAGCCGAAACCTTAGGACCAACTTAATAAAAAATATCCAAATGTTGAGCAATTTTTGTTTTTATTTTCACCCGAAATTAAAGCAAATATTCGAACATTAGAACGGCTCATGATCAGACATAATACATTCATTATCTGTTATATTTGAATATATATATATATATATATATATATATATATATATATAATATAAAGTAATATAATTTTAAGATCTGCTATATTTATGTAATGAAGTGCCCAATATCAGGTATAGACTCAGTATTCAGATACGACAGACTCTTTCATTCCAGACGCAATCATCAGGCCTGATTATTGTGTCTAGCATGAAACAGTTTGACGCCTCTGAGATTGGAATTCAATGTTCATTTTTTAATATCTCCATATATATATATATATATATATATATATTATATATATATATATTATATAAAATAATATAATTTTAATATCATGCTATATTTATGTAATGAAGTGTTATTAAATAGTATAGATTCAATATGAATAGACTAATAAATTTATATTCCAGACGCAATTAAGGCCTAAATTGTATTTAAAAAATTTGATATGATCAATAAATTGTGTTGTTCTCTCCATATATATATATATATATATATATATATATATATATATATAAAACTTATTAGCCTTTAAATCATTCATAAAATTTAGATAAAATAAGTAGAATCAAGATGTTGAAAGCTAAATCTGTATTTAAAAATTAATAATATTGTAATTTATTTATTCGTTCAACGATATTTATAAAATATATTTATATATATTATTTATATATATATATATATATATATATATATATATATTGGAATAATGTTTTGATACCACAAAACAAATATAACGATTTAAAGAAAATGAATTTCTTTTGTATGACCATTTTTTTTTTTTTTTTTTTTTGCAGGACCTAGGTACCTTTCGGCCAACGCTTCATCAGGGTCTTTCGTTGGCAAATGATTTTAAACAAACAATGAAAATGAAAAGAACGCCAAAATGGTATGGTTGGAACACGTCTAAAATTTTACGAAGATATATATACGTAAAATTAAAATAAATTTACGATTAAAATAAATGCGTAAATAATGAATTAATAATAATGAACCAACCTGAGCAGTAAGATAGGAAAATAAGTTGCTCATATATCAACAAAAAAAATTTAGCGATCGTGAAAAATTCTCCTTTTGTTTAGAAAGCGATGGTTTAAATAATTTGAGGCAGATGGCTTCCAAAATAGACAGATGATATTTGGACCTGCCTACGCATATAATTGAAAACGAGTCCATTGTGAAACGTTTTGAGCATGACTCAATTTCTAATAGGTGTTGCCGATCGCCGAATCGTGAGCTGATTGCGAAAAACACGAATGCGATTATCTAAATTTAATTTAATGTGTCTGGGTACATGTTGTCCGATTCTTGTTTCCAAACGAAGACATGTTCGCCCTATGTATTCAGCTTCGCGCTGACATTTAAATTTATATATAATCGAACTTTTTTATTATGATAGGGCAAACGATCCTTGGAAAAAGACGGAAAAACAGTACAGTACCAAAGACAACACGTACTTTGGCCGAAAAGAAGGTAGCAGAAACAACATTTGAAACTTTATCAGTCAAAAGTTTACATTTTCTGCCCAGCCAAGGTAATTTCAGATAAATAGGGCAAAGACCTGGGCCAAATTTTGGGGGCATATTGAAATTCTTTATTTTCCGCTTTATTGTGCGGTCAACAATGTTGGCTGAAAAACCATTGTTGATGAGAATGTCTCGAATTTTGTTCAACTCTTGTTGAAGTGTGCTAGAGGAACAAATTAATAAAGCCCTATGAACTAAGGTCTTAACCAGATTTATTTTTCTGGTATGGGGGACAAATGAGTTCCAATTAGTGTAAAATCACCTGAAAAGGTTTCTTTACGAAACACACTAGTGATGAAAATACTATTCTTTCGTTCCACATGAACATCTAAAAAAGGATATAGAATTATTCATTTCTTCGTCTATAGTGAAGACTAAAGACGGTGCAAGGAATTTAACACTTCACAAAAGAGAGTGGCTTTCTCTATGTTATTAAACAGAAAAAAATCATCAACATAACGTTGATAGATGTTCTTTTTTGATATTTCTCAAATAAAATGCTCTCATGATATCCGACAAAGATGTTGGCCAAAAAGGACCTAAAGGACTACCCATAGAAACGCCATCTACTTGGGAGTACATAATATTTATTTTAATCGTAAATTTATTTTAATTTTACGTAAATTTATTTAAATCGTAAATTTATTTTAATTTTACGTATATATATCTTCGTAAAATTTTAGACCTGTTCCAACCATACCATTTTGGCGTTCTTTTCATTTTCATTGTTTGTTTAAAAATCATTTGCCAACGAAAGACCCTGATGAAGCGTTGGCCGAAAGGTACCTAGGTCCTGCAAAAAAAAAAAAAAATTCATAAAACGAAATTCATTTTCTTTAAATCGAAATATATTTATATTTATATATATATATATATATATATATATATATATATATATATATGTATGTATGTATGTATGTATGTATGTATGTAATAAGTAATATATTGGATCTAAACAGAGTCCTATTAACACAAAATAGAATTTGAAATATGTTAAAACTGACTCACAAAAGAGAGCTCCATATTTATTTTCATTAAACACAGCCAATTTTCATTAGAACTGGAACTATGATACCTTTAGTAAATGACCATTTCAGTTACTAGTGTACTAAACAATACACTGCAAACTGATAACATAAGCAGTTTGAAAAAATCTTCAAAAATATATAAAATTAAAATTCATAGGCGAAAATGGTCATTTATTAAAATATATATCTTAATTCCAAATGTGATACATATATATATATATATATATATATATATATATATATATTTAGTTTATGAAAACTAGGTAATCCGTATGGGTAAACCTAAGGAGGATAAAATCCAGAGAGCTCAATGTAAATCCAGAGCAAATAATTTAAATAAAAACAGACCACTTTAAGGTTGCATGTAATAAATTATTTCACCACAGCCCTTTTAAAAGGACTGCGGATCATCAGACTTTACTTCCAACAAAAAATGAAAAGAAAATTTACACATTTTTGACGGGCCGTATTAAACATATGTAAATTAACGAAGTGAGGAAGTGAGTGGGGGAGAGAAGACATGAATGAGTTAGCAGATATTGACACATTTAAACGGTTAATGATGATCCGTTATATTTTTAAAAAGGGGCTAGTGATGAAAATTTATTACATGGAACCTCAAAGATTTAAAAGGAATGTTTATATATATATATATATATTACCTTTT